GGCCCTAGGAACAGTCCCTAGGAGGGGACCTGCTCTGATTCCATGAGAAGAATTGAACAAGGATGAAATGAGTATGAACGAAGTGAGTACAAATAGGAAACCCTAATTGTGTTGTACCCCCTATGGGATACCCCACTATAGCCTACACAAACAAGTAAGCTATATGTTCTGACACTAGGTGCTCCCCAGGTAGACCCCCTCCCTGCTCCCGGTCCTGCTCCTTCAGGTGTGTCTCAGGTAGACCCTCCTCCCTTGACTGCGCCGGTTGAGGTCACTGGTGACTCAGGTCCTTCTGCAGGTGGTCCTGCTCGGGGTGCTACTACTGGGGGTGCTGAGCCTTGGGTTGCGGAGCCTGGGGGTACTGAGCCTGGGGGTGCTGAGCCTGGAGGTGCTGAGCCTGGGGGTGCGGAGCCTGGGGGTGCGGAGACTCGAGTTGCTGTGCCTGAGCGTGAGGGGTCTGGGGGTGCTGAGCCTGGGGGTTCTGAGTCTGGGGGTGCTGCAGCTGGGAGCGCTGTGGCGTCTGGTGAGCAGTCTCCCTGGAGCGGCCGTCTCCGTAGTCGCTCCGCTGGTACCTCGCCGCTGCACTCTCGTCGTCAACTCCCTCTCTCCCCACAGCAGCTGCGTGAGTGGTACGTTGGCCGTCAGGGTCGCGCTGCTGGAGCTAGGGGTCCTGCTGCGGGAGGCGCTGGAGCTGGTGACCGTGCTACTGGAGTTGTTTCTGCTGGAGGTTCTGGAGCTGCTGAGGGTGCTGGCGCTGGAGGTTCTGGAGCTGCTGGAGACACTGAGGCTGGAGACCCTGGGACTGGATGTGCCAGTTCTGGGGGTGATGCTGCTGGTGGAGCTGGTCCTAGAGGAGCTGGCGCTGAGGATTCTGGAGCTGCTGGAGGTACTGGAGCTGCTGGTGCTGGTGGCACTGCACAGCCATGCCTGTTCTTTGCTCCACCGTCTCCGTCGTCGCAGCCACCGTCTGACTCTGTGCTTTGCCAGGTTCTTAGTCTCCATTCGTCTACTCGTCTTCCGTTACAGCCTGGCTCACCGCTGCCTGCTCCTTCTCCTTACACTGAGCAGACAGGGGTTCTTACTGAGCATCGTGAGTCTGCGTCGCGTCCTGTCTCGCCTGTCCGTTCCAGTCGTCGTGTTCCTCGTTCGCGTCAGCCGGCTGTCCCCGGCACCCACCTCGTAGTCCGTCGTCCTTCCTCTCCTCTTCAGCATATTCCCTTGCCGTCCCCTCCTGCGTCTTCTCTGCCTACCGTTCGTGAGCCTGAGTCTGACCGCACCGGTGCTGCTCACCCTACTGTCACGCGTCTGCTAGCCACAGTTATCACTGACCCGTCGTTTGAGTCAGCTGCTGCGTCTGCCTTAGTCGCTGAGCTTGTTGACTTTGCTGCTGCCTGTTGTCTATACTACGCCGTTAGTCTTGTTACTGAGTCTGAGTTTGTCTGTCCTCCGTCCGTCGAGGGTGAGTGTGCTCTTGGCACGGACGTCCTTGAGGACAGGCACGAGGACCTTGAGTGTCTTGCAGCCACTGCGCCTCATCTCGTGTCCATGCTGCTTGCCCCTGAGGGAGACCCGGATGCTCCACACATCCCGACCCCGCGCTCTTACGCTGAGGCGATTGCGGGTGAGTACTCCTCTCAGTGGCAGACAGCCATGGACGCAGAGATGGCATCCTGGAAGTCCACAAGCACTTACGTCGACGAGGTTCCCCCTCCTTGGGCGAACATCGTCAGTGGCATGTGGATTTTCAGGGTGATGCGGCCGCCAGGTTCTCCGCCTGTCTTCAATGCTCGTTACGTTGCTCGAGGCTTCAGTCAGCGAGAGGGAGTTGACTTCTTCCATACCTTCTCCCCCACCCCGAAGATGACCACTCTTCGGGTGCTGCTGCACGTTGCCGCTCAGCGTGACTACGAGCTTCGCTCTCTTGACTTCAGCACAACTTTCTTACAGGGCAGCCTGCACGAGGAGATCTGGCTGCACCACCCTCTTGGCTTCACTGGTTCGTTCCCTCCTGGTACCCAGTGGAGCCTCTGGCGGCCGGTCTACGGTCTCCGCCAGGCGCCACGTGAGTGGCACGACACACTGAGGACGACACTTGCGGATCTTGGGTTCGCGCCTTCTACTGCTGACCCGTCGTTGTTTTTGCACACCGACACTTCGCTGCCGCCGTTCTACATCCTCGTGTACGTCGACGACTTGGCCTTTGCCACTGCTGACACTGAGGCTCTCGCCCTGGTGAAGTCGGAGCTGCAGAAGAGACGCACGTGCACAGACCTGGGTGAGCTGCGCAGCTACCTTGGCTTGCAGATCACCCGGGACAGAGCACGTCGCACCATCACACTGACTCAGTCACATATGGTGCAGCAGGTCCTTCAGCGCTTCGGCTTCACCTGATCCTCGCGACATCACACTCCGCTGGCTACAGGCCACTCGCTCTCAGCTCCACCTTCGGACGAGTCCGTAGAGCCGAGTGGTCCGTACCCAGAGCTAGTGGGCTGCCTCATGTACCTGATAACCTGCACTCGACTTGACCTTGCGTACCCTCTTGGCCTTCTGGCTCGCTACGTGGCTCCTGGTAGGCACCGAAAGGAGCACATGGACGCTGCTAAGAGGGTACTACGCTACTTGTGCAGTACATCGAGCTTGGGGCTCGTGCTTGGAGGGCGGAGCCCAGTTGTCCTCACTGGGCACTCGGACGCTTCTTGGGTTGACGACCTAGCTACGCAGCGGTCGTCACAGGGTTACACCTTCAGCCTTGGCTCTGTTTCAGTTTCCTGGCGTTCTACACGCTCATCTTCAGTTCTCGGCTCCAGTTGTGAGGCTGAGATCTACGCCACAGCCATGGTTGCACAGGAACTACGCTGGCTCACCTACCTGCTGACCGACTTGGGAGAGCGGCCCCGTTCTCCTCTAGTGTTGTACGTCGACAACAAGGCCGCCATTGCCTTTTGTCAGGAGCATAGACTGGAGCACAGAACGAAGCACATCGCTCAGCGTTTCTTCCTTGCTCAAGAGTTGCAGCAGCGTGGTCAGCTTCGTCTTGCTCACGTGGCCACTCGGGCCAACACTGCTTGATATATTCACCAAGGCACTTCCGTCTGGTGATCATCAGCGTTTTTGTACTTTGTTAGGCCTTGTGCCCACACTTTCTCACTTGCTGTAGACTTTGCCTGTATTGTGATCTAAATATATACCTGCATGCTTGCTTTGCTAGGTAGATATCACTGTGCTGCCGTTGTTGCATATGTACCTCTGCATGTGAACCGGCCTTGTGGCCCTTTGCTTGTGCTCAATGTGTGTGGTGACGTTGTGATCCACCCTGAGCTTGCTTTGTTTCTCTTGACTGGTCTTGTGACCCCTTGTTCTCCCCCACTTTGCCTATGGGGGTGTGTCAAAGTATATGCATGTTATATATGTGTAGGCTGTAGTGGGGTAGCCAATATGGGGTACAGCCCCGTTTAGGGTTGCATACTTGTACCCAACACTTTCATAGTTGATTTATTCCTGCTGCTAGATTCTAGCAAGCTCTCCTCTCCCTTCCCCTGGACATTCATGGCCCTCCCTTACGCATTCACTGCATCCTCACAGAACCAATCGCCTTCAACTGGTCGATACTCAAACCAGACAACTGGTCGTTTGGCACCCGTTAGCACGAGCGGTTCCTCCTTACAGGGCGGTTCCGCATTGAACACATTGTTCAAACTACCAACTATGATGTCGGCCCCATCTCCGCGGCTGAGCTCTGCGCCCAACTCCTGGAAAAATTCCACAAAGATGCAAGACGCCTCCTCCCAGAACTCATAACGGCCGTTAAACCATCTTGGTGGGATGCCCTCCGTAACCCATTCCCCTCCACAGCCTCCCCCGGCGACTGGTTCATGTTGTCCGAAGTCCTCTACCCTGCCGCCCATCTCGCCCTCCAAGTCGTCTCCTTCGTGCCCCCCTCCTCCGTCTCAGCCACTGCCCACCACATCTCGACAAACAAGCGCATCGTCCGCACCCCGTTTTTCACCGGAACCTTCCGCCTTAAAGACCTCGTGGAGGTACACGTCTGGGGTTTGTGGCTCGCCGGGCCACTTCACGTCGGGGCCGGGTTAGGGGCTAGGGTTGGTCTTTTGCAGGACGGTTTCCCCAGCATCGCCGACATCCACCGCCTCCTCTACTCGGCACAATTCAATCATCACCTCCGCTGGACCCGCGACCTCACCCCCCCTCCTCCTCCTCCTCTTCCTGATCTCAAGAGTGCGTTCCTCAAAGACCAGCCGAGCCGACAGTGAGACTTGTTCAGACTCTACACGCTTACCCTTCCCTCTGGGTCACGCTTCCAATACTTCGATGACAGGGGGATTTGCCCCAGATGCCCTGCCGTAGTTGTCGAGACGCTGCCGCATATCTTCTTCGAATGCTCTTCTGCTAGCAACGTCATCTCGGCCCTACGCACAGTTGCTGACCGCCACCTCGGTCAAACCACCACCGCCGAGCACATCTTCTTCCCAATACAGTCACGTGTTGGACAGTCCCCCCCCTGGAGCCTTCTTGTGGGTGCAGCAATTAAGACGCTGTGGAAGGCACGCTGTGACCATAGATACGGCAACTCCTCATGCTTTTAGATCATGCAACTGATATTAGCCCAGTTCCTCATTCCTTCAAGATTTTTATGTGGAGAAGACGCCGCCAGTCTACCAAGAAGCGCCAACGCACATACTCCAGTATCAAACGAGCACAAAAGCTCCGATTCCTCCTATTAGACAGAAGCGGTACCCTTTTCGATTCGAGGGCTCAAAACAACTCGCTATAAGCACAACCCAGGGATAACCCTCACCCATTCCTCCTCTCCACTCGTCACTTCTTTCCACATCAGCTCGCGCAAACATCACCTCTTGCTTACGTCACGTCCGTTCCTGTTCGCCTCGTCGTCGGCCTCCGTTCAGACAGACACATTGCCTCATAGCGCATACCTAAGCGCCCGCTACCGTTACCAGCCCACGCCAGTCCACGTCAGCATGTCGCTCGCAGTTAGACAGAGCACCGCAGCGGCTTTGCTCTCCGCGAGCCCCTGCCACTCGCAGAATGACTGCGTCGAGCGCGCTTCCGTGAATCTCTCCGCATCTGCCGCGGCATGGCAGAGGCACAACGGGCTGCGAATGGTAACGACGGCTGGAGGCGAACGGGGGGTTGCTTATACGCAATCGAATCAACGGACGCGATCGCATAAGGTCCGGGACATGCAACATGGCTAGAGCACATTGGATAGCGCAATGTTGGCGGTTGCCGGGGAACGTGCTTAACTGCAAATGCACTCAGCCGTTGCTTGGCGGGAAAGGCGGCGAATGAGCGAGCGGCCATAATGCTGACTAACACGCGCGAGAAAGAAAATTCCTCAGCAAGCACTCCGTGCAGTTTCGCATCACCTTGCGCTGGGTCGCTGTGGCTCGTTGCCTCTCATCCACCTCGCCATCGCACACCCTCCGCTGATTCACCCCCGAGTTCTTTCTCCCCGCTCCCAACCCTACTAGGGTCCCCCTCCCGTATCCCTCTCCTATGCCTCCCCCTCCCCGCCCCTGCCCCTGCAGCGTGCGCAGGCGCGAGCGGCGGTGTCGACGGCGTCGGAGCAGGCGGCGGAGGGGGGGACGGCGCTACGGCCGCTGCGAGTGATGATCTCGGGCGCGCCCGCGTCGGGCAAGGGCACGCAGTGCGAACTCATCGTACAGAAGGTGCGCTCCGCGCTCAGGGGTGCGGGAGGGAGCGGGAGGGAGGGGGAGGGGGAGGAGGGGGAGCGGGCGGGCAGGTAAGAGGGGAAAATGGGGGAAAGAAGGCAGTGGCAAGAAGTGAAGGAGATTTGGGTGGAAACGAAGGTCGCGAGCGGAGCGAGGAGAGGATGTGCTCAACACACTCGTTCTTCCACAAAACAAAATGCTCATTGGCGTTCTTTCTCCCTGCCTTCGACCACCCGCCCCTTCCCCCCCCTCCTCGCACCTCTGTATTACCTCTCTCACACGCCAGTGCGCGTCCCCCTGCCCCCTGGCCCCGTGTCCCAAGTCCCATGCCCCTCTGCTCCCACTCCCCCCTCTCTGGTGCTGGTGCTGGTGCGCGCCTGGCAGTACGGGCTGACGCACATCAGTGCGGGCGATCTGCTGCGCGCGGAGGTGGCAGCGGGCACGGAGGGCGGGCGGCAGGCCAAGGCGCACATGGACGCGGGGCGCCTCGTGCCGGATGACGTGGTCGTCACGGTGGGTGGGGGTTGCGGAAGTGGGGGAGGAGGTGGGTAGGAGGGTGGGTGGGTGCGTAGGAAATGCGTGGGTGGGTGGGGAGGGGGGGGGGTGGGTTGGAGGGGTACACGCTCACGGCGCACCGCTGCTGCTCGCGCCTTGCTTGTGGTCCTCGCCTCTCCCCGCCTCTAGCCCCCAGTCCTCACTATTGGCTTGGTTCGTTCTTGCAGAGAGTAGGGTACCTGCAGCAGCAGCAGATTCGAATCCGCATACTGCTCATCCCTGTTTGTGTGCGACCCTGTGCGTGCGACCTGTGCATGTATGGGAGCAGATAGTGAAGAACCGCCTAGCACAGGAGGACGCGCAGAGCAGGGGGTGGCTGCTGGACGGCTATCCGCGCAGCCTGTCGCAGGCGCACGCGCTGCTGGCGCTCGACATCTCGCCCGACGTCTTCATCCTCCTCGATGTCAGCCCTAACCCTGCTTCTGACCGCCTTGCCCCTTGTGTTTCCATTTCTGTCTGTTCTGTCTCTGCTGCCCCAGCTTTGTGTGCTGGGCGTGTTGGCGATGAGCATTGACGCACTCAAGGATCAAAATTACGGTTTTCGTAAAATATGGTTCGTTTTTTACGGTCGTTTTTTACGACGATTTTTCAAAAATAAGGTCGTTTTTTTGGTAGAGAACTCTGGTCACCAAGAAAAAAACGGGAAAAACAAGGTCAAACACATTTTCAAACATGCAAACAAGTGCACACATGCAAGAAGGGGCCCCTCCCATTCATCCTGCTAAAATTCGGGATCAATTTGGTCCGATAAAGTGGCCGATTTGTTAGTTGAACTGAAAACACATTCTGGAACCGTTTTAAACCGTTTTAAACGGTCGTTTTTTACGGTACCGTTTTTTACGGTAAATTTTCAAAAAAACGGTCGTGTTTTTTTAACCCTCGCACTGCATTGCTGATGAACACCCCTTCACGACAGCCCTGCCGTATGCACTCCAGACTCACTCACCTACCCACCTGTCAGCTGCACCCACTTGTATCATGCCAGCTGCCTCTCACATCACATGCCCCCTCTGCATTCTTGGTGCCTCCAGCTGAACTGGTCTCTGGGCTGTTGCGCTGACCATAATGCTGCACATGGTCATCTCATCCCCCCATCCTCCCCGCTCGCCCACATTCCTGCCTCGATGCTCCAGTGCCCCAGATCATCCCATAAGAGAGGGCTGAGGAGAGAGCTACACCGTCTGAGCGCCAACCCACACCCTCATTTCTTCCGTCCTCTTATCCCTTCCCCCTCTCACCCCGCCCCCCCCCCCCCCCTTCCTCTGCTTTGTTTCCTCCCTCCCCCCTCTCTGCATGCACGCACGTGCAGGTGCCCCACGAGATCCTGGTGGAGCGCGTGGTGGGGCGGCGCCTGGACCCCGCCACCAACCGCATCTACCACCTCTCCTTCTCGCCGCCCGAATCCGAGGAGATCGCCGCCCGCCTCACCCAGCGCAGCGACGACACCGAGAAGAAGGTGGGGGTGGGGGTGGGGGTGGGGGTGGGGGAGGGGAGAGATGATGACACTGGGGAGAAGCTTGTGGGAGGGTGGGATGGGTTGTGGGGGCGTTCACCTGCCCGTGGGCTGCTGTGCGCTGCCTGTTGCCAGTCCTCTTGTGGTCTCACTTGCTCTGCCCACTCCCCACATCCTGCTCCACACTCCCACTATCACTATCGTGCATGTCTGGTGTGCTTAGTCTGTGCCTGACCATGCCTTGCTCCTCGTTGCCTCATCTGCTGCCGTGTGTGCGGGGACTGGCTCGTGTGTGGTGCGAGCATGGCATGGCATGGCGTGGCGGGGCCAGGTGAAGGCGCGGCTGGAGACGCACAACGCCAACGTGGCCAGCGTGCTCGATGTCTACGCCGGCAAGCTCGTGCAGGTCAGACCACGTGCAGGTCAGATTCGGTGCAGAGCGGTGCAGGTGAGGTGGAGTGCAGAGCGGTGCAAGTGAAGCGCGGTGCTGAGTGGTGTGGAAGAGGCAAATGGGAGTGTGGAGGTGAGAGGGGGACTTTGAGGCATGGAGTGAATGAGAATGCAGAGCATGGGATGGCAGCATGTGGAGTGGGTTACAGTGGATAGATGATGGATGTGTGGCGTGGCACTGGGATGACAATGCCGAAAGGATAGCTCTGGCAAGCATCACAGCCATTGCAAGCATCACAGCCATGGCAAGCATCACAGCCATGGCAAGCATCACAGCCATGACAAGCATCACAGCCATGCACATGCTCTTCTCCTTCAAACTTAGTCCCACCCATCCACAACTGCACGTTCTGCATTTCGCCCATGCACCAACTCTCCTTCATCCTGCATCCCCTTCCTGTGCACCCCGCTCCACTGCACCCCCTTCCACCATCCAACCCATGGCATGGTGGGTGGGGAGCAGGTGAACGGGCATCGCTCCAAAGATGAAGTGTTTGGCGACATTGACGACATTCTCACTCGCCTGCAACACGGCCAGCTCTCTTTTGACTAGATCCACCCAGGCTCATGCAGCCGGTCGTGTAGATGTGTTTGTATTTTTATTGCATGAATCGTCTCTTTCTAGGCAACAGCTAGTATTACTAGTTTATTAGGGCTCCAGCTAAGGTCCACTCACTAATCTTCTAAACATCGAATACACATGAGTTGGTATGGCCTGACATGGCACTGCTCTCATTGTGCTGACTTGCACCTCCCCGCCACTCTGTAACACAGGCATGAGTAGCGGTGTGGTGCAGCTGTTGGTACGGAATGAGGCATATCGTTGGACCCCACATTCGTAACAGTGGTGGTGGTTGCGTCATGCATGCTGGATTGCTGGTTCTCCCCACCCACCCTCAGCTGCTGCATCCACGAGCACACTTGGAAGTAGTGGGAGCAGATGGAAGCAGGTACGAGCAGGAGTCACTTGGCCTGGGAGGCGAGCCACTGCTGCTTGGTCATGGGGCGCAGGAAGCCAGTGGCCTTCTCCTTGCCAATGCTCGTGAACGCGCCCCCGTAGTCGTGCCCCGGGTACACCCTGCACCACGCCCAGGAGGGAGGGACACGGGCCAGGGCAGCGTGCCGAGGAGCAGCAGGTGGACATGCGGAAGCAACGCGGGGAGGGCGTACAGTTTGAAGGGCAAGGAATACTCGGACTGGAAAGGGACTTGTAGACTTGTTGTCGCGTGGCAGCACTGCACTCACCTGGTGTCGGGCGGCAGCGCTGCGAGCTTCTGCAGGCTGTCATACATGGCCTCCCGGTTGCAGTCTGGTAGGTCCAGCCGCCCACAGCTGAAGCGGGCGACAGATTGGACAGGCGGGTTGCACGCAGTGTGGGGTGAGGCGCTAGGGGAGTGAAGCACGTGGTGGCTTGACGGAACAGCGATGCGAAACGAAGAGGAGAGAGAAAGGTGATTTAATGTAGTGTGGAAGATGGAGGGTTGGAAGCACAAGCAGAGAAACAACGATCAGGTTGAATGAGGCCAAGAAGAGATGCACACATGAGAAAAGCCCTGAATCTCCATGGTAGAAATCCGCCTTGGCCTCACACTCTTGCTCTGCCTGGCCCGCCACTCCACCCATCATGCATGGCTCACTTACCCATCATGGTGTGGAGTGATGTGGTGTGGAGTGGTGTGGAGTGGAGTGGAGTGGAGAGGAACAGAGTGGTTGAGTTGAGTGGAATGAAGAGGATTGTTAATCTAAAGCTCATGCATTAAGGGGCCTGAAAATTATGGTGGCCCCGCTGCTGACAAGTGCTGATGCACGTTCATAGCAGACAGACAGTCTTCATACGCACCTCCCAATAAAAAGAGTGTCTCCTGATATTAGAACACCGTCATCATGGCCCGGCGCTCTGCAGGTAGCAAGAAAAAAGAAGGCAGCAAACTTGGAAGGATGGTCAATTAGCAGGCGATGACACACTGACTGAGTTGGGCGCACGGATTATGCACAGTGACATGACAGCGCGGAGTGGGGGGTTGTGAATGACAAAGAGGACATGTGGTTGGCAGGATGACAGCATATGCACGCGGGTGAAGCTCCTCTAAAGGCCATGAGTAATTCACATGCACCCAACGTGCTTCCTTCCAGGGGTCACGTGCATGCGTCACGCAGACAGCATAAGGGCGTCAGCCCAGTAGCGGTAGAGAAGGCATGTGTGATGAAGTGTGCATGCATCGATGGTGCACCCATGTGCATCCAACACAGTGCACCGCCCATGCAAGCATGCATGTTGGGCCGAGTGTGCTAAACCATGGGCGTCATGGTCGCCATCCAGATGGGTGCGGCATGCACATGCATGTGTAACATGCTCGAACATTTTTTTGTTTTACGCACCTTGCACATTCATGTGAGCATGCACGCATATCCCACCGTTCAATGTGGATGCACTGGCTGCCGGGCGTGTGACCAGGTGTGTGGATGAACCGCAGCGACACCGCGCCCACCTCTATCGTCGCCCCATCCTGCCCTCACCATCGCCAACCACAAGCATGAACAGAAGAAGACACGAGCCAGGCAGGAAAATAGAACAAGGACGGTACTAAGGAATGCTGGACCGTGTGAGGGGAGGTATAAACATACAGCCAAACACCCTTACACCAGAGATAGTGGGAGGGAAGAGATTTTGGGAAGATGGATGGTGCTGCCAGCTCAAATGCCTATTTGCGTCACGCCAGCTGTGGCATGACCACACATTGACAAATCATTAAACCCTACCATACCTCCACCATACCTCCACCATACCTGGACCTCCACAATGGAGTCACTGGGAACGCCATTCTTGGAGCGCAGCAGCGCCACATCGTGCTTGTTGGCATACACCTGTGTGGGGGACAGGGGGATGGCAGTAGCGGGACAGGGGGATGGCAGTAGGGGGACAGGGGGATGGCAGTAGGGGGACAGGGGGATGGCAGTAGGGGGACAGGGGGATGGCAGTAGGGGGACAGGGGGATGGCAGTAGGGGGACAGGGGGATGGCAGTAGGGGGACAGGGGGATGGCAGTAGGGAGACAGGGGGATGGCAGTAGGGGGACAGGGGGATGGCAGTAGGGGGACAGGGGGATGGCAGTAGGGGGACAGGGGGATGGCAGTAGGGAGACAGGGGGATGGTGGAAGCGGGGTCAGCGGACGGCAGGTGAAGCGGAAAGCGGGCAGTGATGGACCAACACCATTTCTGGAAACCAGTCAACTCTTGTGACTATCCAGTCACCAACAAGAGATTCGGGGTGTGGAGTCCGGTGGCACACCCTTTGAAGCACGACGATACATGCATGCACCCACAGACTCACACATGTCCCCTGCCATGGAACCTTGCCCCTCAACTGCGCCAGGGCCAAGCCCCTCACAGCAAACACCGCGCTCTCACTCGGTGAGAGGCAGGGCAGCACACCTTGAGGCCGTGCTGGGTGGCGAGCTCCCTGATCCCCGGCACCTTGATGCCCAGCGCGTCAAAGGGCGGCGGTGGCATGCCGCCCGTGTGGTCAAAGTGGTAGTGCGTCACCACCGCACCCACCTGGAGGCGGGAGGGTGGGTGTGCTAGGGGCCAGGAGAAAGTGTGAAATGTTTCGTTCTGTATTGGAAGTCAAGGGGGCGAGAGCAGAAGGAGATGCGACAGCGTGCGGAGAAAAGGGCAGTGTAGCTCCACACCACACCACACCACACCACACCACAGTGGCACATGCTCCGGGAGGGGTATGCCACACAGTCCTGGATGGAAACTGACAGGCTCGAACCAGAGGACTCGTCAGTAGCGGACAGGTGGGACTTGTCCTGTTGTTCTTAGAACATGGATTAAGAGACCTGGACGGCAACTGTGAGGCTCGAACCAGAGGAGCAAGCCACGGTACAGACGAGGTGCCTGGAAGGAAAATGGTAATGGACACGCAACGGCACAGCATGCCACGCCACATTAAACCACACCATCCCATGCGATGCCATGCCACACCCAGGGTTAGAGCACTCACCAGCTTCACTCTCTCTGCCTCTGCATATCGCAGAATGCCCTGCAACGCAAAGCGAGGGGCGAGACGAGGCGAGGCAAGGCGAGGCGAGGGGTTGTGACGAATTCATGTGCACGTAGTGGGCAGCATGGCATAGCGGGCAAAGGCTTAGAAAGTGCACAGGCCACTGCGAGTGGTGAGCAAGAGATGTAATAACATGGTCATATGGACACACAGCAAGCCTCTGCACAGCACTCACCAGAGCAGCAATGCAGCTCACCTCGACGTCCCAGGCGCCGTCCACGACAACAGCCTCTCGGGAGTGCGCATCGCCGATGAGGTAGATGAAGTTGCGCATCTGCTGTGCACTGCGGTATATCTGCACGCATGCATGGGCAATGGGGGTTGGGGATGTAGACAAGGGATGACAAGGGACGTTGATGACTGGTGAGGGAATGGGTGTTTGTGAAAAGGTGAGTGCATGCATGGCCATTGGGAGGAGGAAAGGGAGGTTGAAGGTGTGTTTGTGGTCAGCGGTCACACACACACATGGGCGGGAGCAAAGAGGGCGGACCTGGGCAGGGAGGGAGGATGCACCTGGGACTCGATGACGTTGCGGCCTCTGCCTACACAGAACTCCCGCCCTGCGAACATCTGCCATGCAGGGTGGCGGGCACAGGCACGGATGGATGGTGCTGACGACACGGGTGCTGATGCCCTTCACACATGCGTGCCTCTGCCTGTCCCAGCCTGCTGCAACCCTCAGCTTTCCCCATTACGCCCCCGGCACCACACTGCAGAGGACTGCACGGCAATCAGTGCATGGACGGAGCATGGATGTGACTAGTGCATGGCATGTGTGCGAACAGTGAGTGCACCTACTTAGCACGAGGGGGCCGGGGGAATGCGCGGCACATGCATGGCATGCGTGAGGGGCAGGGCGTGCGTCACCTGGCGCAGCAGGAAGCCCTGCTGAGCCTCCAGCGCCAACAGCAGACACTGCTTCACCGTCGCATCGTCTGGCGCCTGCTCCACATGGCGAAGCGCAAGGGGGGCGATGGGGGGCCAAGGGCTTGACGCGTTGGGCAAGCAACACGTGTCTGTGCACTGCCTACTAATGCAGCGGGAGGGGAAGGAGCTGGGAGACTATGGGGAAAAAGAGGTGCATGCTTATAACAGTGGGGGGAAAGGGGGGGAGCATCGGATGAGTCAAGAGCAGCAGCAAGCACTGCAGGCAGCCCAGTTAGGCCCACCAAAAAACGAGTGGCACTAACGTTTGACTTGATTGCTTCGAGTGTAGACCCAAAAGCACCGGAATGCGTTTCACTTGGGAAAGAAAGTTAGGCACAGCACATATTGCATGGCACAAGGCATGGAGCAGTGCATGGCAGCAGCTCACCCGGTCCAGTGCCTGCCGGTACGCCTCCTCCGCCTCGTCGTACCGCTGCAACGCAAACAGCGCCTCGCCCTTCCGGAACCAGCCCTGGGGAAGGTGGGGATTCATGGAACGCAGAGGGGGTTGATGGGGCGAGGAGGCACAAAGCGCGCATCCAGACATGGACGGGGGCATG